AGCTGATATCAAGGGCTCAAGTAGAAAGCCAATGTTTTGAGAATGATGATGGCAACAAATGTACAAATGTGCTTGACACAATGGATGGATAGATGGATTATGATAAGAATTGTACGAGCCCCCAATAAGTGATTTAAAAAAGAAAAAAAATAAGCACAGTACACTTCAAGCTCAACTGGCACAGATTACTCCAATAATGTTCCTCCTTGAAATTTCCAGACCAGAGCTAGGCACCATTATGTACGTTCTGAGTCCATTCCCAATCTTCAAGAAATACATGCCAACTTCTTCCACATAAGCTTTTGACATTATACTCCACTGGCTCCATCACAGTGAGCCTTTAGGTTTCTATATCTCAAGCATCCATTCAAAGAACAAGATGGCAGTCTCTCATCTTGTACTGCAATGTGTACAAGTCATTCTCATGTAGTCTATCTCACTTAGTCTCATGAATGCATACCTTTCCTTTGGAGAAGAGAGAAGCCTCTACAACATTGCACTCCCAAAACAATCACCATGTCTTCTTGCCTTCTGTAATAATTTTCTTATATACGAGGGGTACCAAAAAACCCCCCTGGAATTGCGCTGGTCAGAGTGGAGCTTTCATAGTGCACATTTTTCCCACTAGGTGAGCATTGAGCAACTCACTCTGAGTTAGTGCACCCAGTGGCTTCACTTGGGAAGGTTCTCTCTGGTCACAGTGAATTTTTTGTAAAAGCAGTTTTGCTTGAACCTCATTTTTTTGTGATGGCTGATTTAAGAGAACAGCATACAGCTAGGACATTTTGTTTCTTGCTCAGGAAAAATGCAGCAGAAATTGTTGTGAAGCTGAACCCAGCTTACAAGGACAGCATTATGGGAAAAACTGAAGTGTAGGAGTGGTTTTCTCATTTCAAAAAAAGTGAAATGTTGATAGATGACAAACCTTGTCTCGATGTTCATCAACTTCCCAAACTGATGAAAATATGGACTTATAGTGCATTTGGAGAGCTTCTGAAAAGATAGGTAACAGTGTGCAGCAAAAAAGACCTGATTTGTGGCAGACAGGGGACTCGTTTTGCCACTACAACAATGCACCTGCTCATGCAGCCATCTCAGTGCGTCAGTTTTTGGCAAAACACAGCAGGCCTCTCTTGCCCCATGCACCTTACTCACCTGACCTCGCTCCAACTGAATTCTTTTTGTTTCTGTGAATGAAGAGGCACATGAAAGGACATTGACTAGATGACGTAGAAGGGGTGAAGAAAAAATGAGGGAGGTGCTCTGCCATTCAAACAGATGAGTTTGAAAAATGTTTCGAAGAATGGAATTGCAGATTTGACAAATGTATTAAGTATAATGGAGAGAACTTTGAAGGTGATAAGATTGTTTTGCCAAAAAAATTAAATACATAGCTTTGAAAAAAACTGGTTTGTGTGTGTGTGTGTGTTCCTCCTCGTATACCTTTGCTTCACTTATCAACATGGTTAGGTTCCAAAGATCAAGTTGCTTATGAAATTGACTATATGAGAAATGGGGGGTGCAACCTATCTTCAATGGTAGTGCCACCCCTTTATTGCATATTGCCTGTCATGCACAGGCATATATGTGGCAAGGCAGGTCATCTTTCCTCACCAGGCCTTCTCCACCCCAGCAGAACCTACAGAGGTTGAGGGTAGTGGTGGTGGTTGGATATTGCCTGCTGTCCACTGCCTGAACCACCCACCCTGGCTGGGACTTTGCATGACCTCCACCTACTTCTGCTCCACAGCCACATGGGCCTCCTTCCCTCTCCCTCTGATTCTCCCCTACCCCACTGGCCTCTCCAGCACCTCCAGGCCCTCTCCTATTGTCCACCTGCCAGCACTTAACCTGTCACTGTTGAACCATCACCCTGTGCTCTCTATGTTCAGGCCAAGAATTTGCAAACTAATGGGAGAAGGCATCCTGCTGCCAGTCAGCCCCAATTCCTCAAGTGCTCTAGCTGTCATCAGGGCTTCTGGTATATCATTCAGGATGGCCTGTGGGGCTGTCTTGGGCTCGGCCATGGCCTGTATGGAGCTTAGACCATCAGACACTGACTGAGAATTTTTTCAGAGTTATCATAAATGCAAAATAACAGGAAATGAGTTAGTCAATGAGTGTGTAATAAGTGTATACTGAAGAGAGGATGATGGGTGATTGTTGTGGTAAAACAACCTGTTCTATCAAAGAAAAAGAGATGTATTCTTAACTTCTGGAAGCTCACTGATTACTCTTTTCAATTATGGTGATAGTTATCACCTTTTATTTTTCATTTTGGTCCCTTAACACAATTCTAAACAAAACAAAAATCTCATTCCTGCTATTACAAAATGAAATTAGATACTTAATAAACTTCAACACTTACCTAGTGAGTTCAAAAAATATACATGTTCAATGTGTTAGGCACCAATGCCAAGTTGATAAACAAGACCAATATCTTACACCTAGAATTGAAAATAATCTTGATAAAATTAGACAGATTAATGTCACTAAACCAGGTAAAGCTCATTCAATGAAAATATACTGAAGGAAAATACAACCTGATTATTTTCTTTTAGCACCTTAAATTCTGTCTTCATTTCAGTATTAGCTTGAGTCTGTTGCTGAAGTAACTGCTGCATATGTTGAAAAGAGACGATGACATTCTTAAAAATAAAAAAAAGTATATATATTACTTCCAATCGGATAACTTAAAAGCTATATACATATCTAAGATAGATAAAACCAAGCTCACTACCATTGAGTCTCTGACTCACAGGGTTTTCAGGACTGTAACTCTTTACATTTACAATCTGATGCATTGAACAAACAGATCTATCTTGGAATGAGGACAACAAGAATGCTCCTTAGAGGTAAAGATGATGAGAGTTTGTCTCACATACTTTGGACATGTTATCAGGAGAGACCAGTTCCTGGAGAACGACATCATGCTTCGTAAAGTGGGGGGCAGTGAAAATGAAGAAATTCCTCAATGAAATGGACTGATACAGTGGCTGCGACAATGGACTCAAACATAAGAACAATTGTGAGGTGGCATATGACCAAGTGGTTGTTTCTTTCTGTGGAACCAACTGGATGGTACCTAATGTCAATAACAACATTTTACAAGTGTAGAAAGCCTTATTTTTCTCCTGCAGAGCCGCTGGTGGTTTTTAATTGCTGATCTTGGGTTAGCAGCCCAACACATAATCACTTCACCAACAGAGCTCCAAGATAAATAAATAGATTTCACATATCGATTGCCTTTGACTTGTGCAATAACCATTTTTTTACCACTCTCTGTTAGGGAAAAGCACTTGAGTTTTCCTTCTCTGACAGATTTTTATCTTACTTTTACAGTAATTAATTTCAACACTATCACACTTTAATTTAATATTTAAAATAACTTAGATTACATTACTTTCTCCAAAATATCGTTCTAAGAGCCCCTCAAATAACTAAAATAGTTTTATTTAATGTTGAGAATAAATAATGACATTCTTTTAAGTATAAATATTATGTCTCAATTGGAAAACTCAAAATATATATACATATCCTGAGACGCCATTGACAAATGTGAATAATTTAGAACTAAAATAAAATTTTGTTGATTTCTCCAACATCTAGTAAATATGTTACTAAAATAATGTTATCGCCACTCATCTGTTAGTTTGTAATTATTGTAATGACTTGCCTCTTGCTGTGATGCTGGAAGCTATGCCACTAATACTTCAAATACCAGCAAGGTCACCCACGGTGAGCAGGTTTCAGTAAAATTTCCAGACTAAGACTAGAGCAGGAAAAAGGACTAAACTGCCCACTCTGGAGAGATTAGCTACTGAAAATCTTTATGAAAAGCAATAGAACATTGTCTGATATAGTGCTAACAATGAATCCCTCAGGATGGAAGGCACTCAAAATAGGATTGTGAAAGAGCTGCTTCCTCAAAGTGGAGTAAAAAGTAATGACATAGATGGAGCAAAACTTTTAAGTTCTTCATTTATTGATGGCACTCAACTCAAGATGAGAAGAAATAGTCACAAATCAGAATCTAGAAAAATTTTTAATTGTTAAAAATTAAATGGAACATATAAAGATACTAGGCTTTAGTGAGCTGAAATAGACTAGTAGTGGCTATTTTGAACCAGTCAATTATATGGTTTACTGTGCCAAGAATGACAAATTCAAGAGGAATGTCGCTGCATTCATCATGAAAAGGTTAACATCCATATACTTACAAGGAAAACCAGTTAATCCAACTATTATTCAAATTTGTACACAAACTAAAGCCAATGATAAAGAAACTGAATAATTCTACCAGCTTCTTCAGTCTGAAATTGATCAAACATTCAACCAAGGTGCTGTGATAATTACTAATTAGAATGTGAAAGTTAGAAACAAAAAGGAAGGCATCGATATAGAAAGAATGCTGAAGAGCACATAATAAATTTTTTCAAGACAAATGATTTCTTCATGGCAAATACCTCTTGTTAAACAACATAAATAGTTACTATACATGTGGACCTTGCTAGGTGGGATACGCAGGAATTAAACTGACTACACATCTGTGTAAAGAGACAATAAAGAAGCTCAGCATTATCAGCCAAAACAAGGCCAGGCAGGCTGTGGAACAGGCCACCAATTGCTCGTATTGAAGCTGAAGAAAATTAAAGCAAGTCCACAAGAGCCAAAATACAATTTTGAATATAAACTACCTGAATTTAGAGACTATCTTGAGGACAGATTTAACATATTGAACACTCATGATCGAAGCCCAGATTAGTCATGGGAACATCTGAACATCATACAAAGGAATTTCCTTTTCTCGAGTGGTTAAAATTCTATACCATTGGCTAAACTAATGATACTATTAATGCATAGTAGCTATGCATTGGGCTTCTAAATGGACAGGCAGCAGTTCAAAACTAGCAGCCAGCTCCACGGGAGAAAGATAAGGCTTTCTATTTCTGTAAAGATTTACAATCTCAGAAATTCACAGGAGCAGTATCTACCTTGTCCTATAGGGTGGCTATGAGTCAGCATTAACTAGATGGCAGTAAAAGCGATACCCTAGGGTGATGATTGATAATGTTCTCGAACATTAAATGGCAATAAAGTCCCTAAGGCAAACCATTGAAATATATAAACCATAGATATATGAATAGAATTTGGGCTTATACTTAAGTGTAGCCCCTATAAACAGATCATCTATAAACATGATCCTGATTAATGCTCACTCTCATGAAGAGATCACTGAAGGTATGGGTGCTATAGCAAAGTGTGATGAACTAAATTGTGCCCAGTGATCAGAAGGAATGGCTTCGGGGGAATTAAAGACTTGTCTTCAAACAAGTAGCCTCCTAAGCAAAGTGACAACTAAGTCTACATGAAAGAAGCCCACCAGCCTGTGTGATCCGAGGATTGTAAATAATGAAATACAAATCCAAAAGAGGGAATGGTACCAGAATGTTCTAGAACTGCTTTCCTTTTTAATCATTTTATTGGGGGCTCGTACAAATCTTATCACAATCCATCCATCCATCCATTGTATCAAGCACATTTGTACATTTGTTGCTATCATCATTCTCAAAACATTTGCTTTCTGCTTGAGGCCTTGGTATCAGTTCCTCATTTCCCCCTCCCTCTCCGCTCTCCCCTCCCTCATGAACCCTTGATAATTTATAAATTATAATTATTTTGTCATATCTTACCCACTTTTCTGTTGTACATCGGAGGAGGTTATATGTAGATCCTTGTAAGGGGTTCCCCCTTTCCACCCCACCCTCCCTCCACCCTCTCAGTACCTCCACTCTCAGCACTGGTCCTGAAGGGATCACCTGGATTTCCTGCTTCCAGTTCCTATCTGTACCAGTGTACATCCTCTGGTCTAGCCAGATTTGTAAGGTAGAATTGGGATCATGATGGGGGGGGGGGAGCATTTAGGAACTAGAGGAAAGTTGTATGTTTCATCATTGCTACACTGCACCCTGACTGGTCTGTCTCTTCCCCATGACCCTTCTGTAAGGGAATGTCCAGTTGCCTACAGATGAATCTTGGGTCCCCAATCTACATTCCCCTTCATTCACAATGACTTGATTTTTTGTTCTTTGAAGCCTGATACCTGATCCCTTAGACACCTCATGATCACACAGGCTAGTATGCTTCTTCCATGTGGACTTTGTTGCTTCTGAGCTAGGTGGCCACTTGTTTACCTTCAAGCCTTTAAGACCCCAGATGCTATATCTTTTGATAGCCGGGCACCATCAGCTTTCTTCACCACCTTTTTTTATGCAACCATTTGTCTTCAACAATCATGTCGGGAAGGTGAGCACAAAATGATATGATTTTTTGTTCTTTGATGCCTGATAACTGATCCCTTCGACACCTCGTGATCAAACAGGCTGGTGTGCTTCTTCCATGTGGGCTTTGTTGCTTTTGCGCTAGATGGTCGCTTGTTTACCTTCAAGTCTTTAAGACCCTAGATGCTATATCTTTAGATAGCTGGACTCCATCAGCTTTCTTCCCCACATTTGCTTATGCACCCACTTTGTCTTACAGTGATCGTGTTGGGAAGGTGAACATCATGGAATGCCAGTTTAATAGAACAAAGTTTTCTTGCATTGAGGGAGTACTTGAGTGGAGACCCAATGTCCAGTCTAGAACTGATTTTAATGATGATTATACAACCCTTTTTAATATGACTGAACTATTGAAGTATATGTTTTGTGAATAATATGTCAATAAAGCTCTTTTTAAAAATATAAAAACATCACTGAACATATTCAGAGGACAAATTTCCTTTAATGGCATGTTCAATGAGCAAACCTTTTTGTCTTGATAGAACCAATTCGAAAGACTCTACCCTGTTAAAAGTTTTAAAAGCAGCAGAAGAAAAAAGATCAAAGTGGATTTCAAGCAAGACTCTGAAACTTGCCCTTGAATGTAGAGTAAATAAACTGAAATGCAAAAATTATGAAGTAAAAGAGCCAAAGAAGAAACTCCAAAAGGCAGCTTGGGAGACTAAGTAAAGTATTTATGAAATACGCAAAGACTTGGAGCTAGAGAACCAAACTGAAAGATAAGAAAATTCTCAAGATAAGAAATTATGCTCAGCAATTCTCAAGATTAAAAAAATGAAAAGTTCAAGCTTCAAATGGAAATATTGAAGGATTGTATGGACAAAATATTGATGCCATAGAATGTCATGGCATATACTTGGATTCAAATGGAGGGGGAAATGTGGTCATTAAAAAAATAGGAGGGAAAATTAGAAGAGAAAAATAGAAACAGGAAATTGGCTAGAGGTAGACAATGTTAACTTCAGTGATAGGGAAGAGGATATACAAAAGTAGGTTATAAATGAAAAAATGTTGGAGGTAGGGGAAGACACTTGCAAGAGCTAAAGTGAACAGAAGCAAATATGGTTATACACACAATCCTGCAATGGTGGTGGTCTAAAAGTAGATGCCTGGATAGACACACAGAATGAACTGGTGTAGGAGGGAGAATGGGAATATACTCATGAATATATAAAGTTTAACAGAGGATATGAGTATATGTATACTTACTATTGCTACCAATAAAATCTATGAATGCGGTGCAGCATTTTGCTGTTAGGTGCCATTGAGTCATTTGCAGCTCATGATGAGTCTATGTACAACAGAACTAACTACTGCTCAGTCTTGTGCCATCCTCACTATTGTTCTTACATTTGAGCCCATTGTTACAGGCAATGGGTCAATCCATTTTGCCACAGGTCTTCCTTTTTGTTTTGCTGCCCCTCTATTTTATCAACCTTGATGTCTTTCTCCAGGGACTAGTCTCTCCTAATATGTCCAAAGTTTCTGAGATGAACACTCTCCATCCTTGTATCTAAGAAGCACTCTGGCTGTACTTCTTCCAAGATATATTTGTTTGTTCTTTTGGAAATCCATGGTACTTTCAATATTCTTCCCCAGAACCATAATTCAAATCCATGGATTTTTCTAGTCTTCTTTATTTCAATGTCCAACTTTCACATGAGTAGAAGTTGATTGAAAATACCTTGGTTTGGATTAGAAAAATCTGAGCCTTCGAAGTATTCTCCTTGTTTTTCAACAAGGTCATGTGCACTTTGTGCATTTGCCCAATGCACTGCATCTTATGATTGTTTGACTGCTGCATTATGAGCATTGATTGTGGATCCAAGCAAGACAAAGATTGACAACTTCAATCTTTCTCCATTTATTATGATGTTACCTATTGGTCTAGTTGTGAGGGTTTTGGTCTTCTTTACATTGAGTTGCAATCCATACGGAAGACTGCAATCCCTGATCTTCATCAGCAAATGCTTCAGTCCTCCTCACTTATTCTATTCGCACGACTGCCTGGATCCATGTACAAGCTCTGCATAAGCACAATATAGTATTTTGGGATTCCCATTCCCATCTTCTCAAAGTTATCCATACTTTGTATGGTCCACATAGTCGAATGCCTTAGCATAGTCAATAAAGCACAAGTATACATCTTTGTGGTATTGTTTTCAGCCAAGCTCCATCTGACATCAGCAATAATATCCTTTGTTCCACATCCTCTTCTGAACCCAGCCTAAACCTCTGGTAGTTCCCTGTTGGTCTACTGCTACAACTGTTGTTGGATGATCTTCAGCAAAAATCTACTTGCATGTAATATCAATGATATTGTTCTATAATTTGAGGATTCTCTTGGGTCACCTTTCTTTGGAATGAGTACAAATATGGCTCTCTTCCAGTCAGTTGTATTCCAAATTTCCTGGCAAAGATGAGTATTTCATCAGTTTGCTGAAACATTTCAATTGGTATTCCATCAATCTCTGAAGCCTTGTTTTTGGCTACAGCTCTCAGTGTAGCCTGAACTTCTTCCTTTGGGACCATTGGTTCTTACTTATATACTATTTCCTGAAATGGTGAAATGCCGACTACTTCTTTTTGGTACAATGACTCAGTGTATTCCTTCCATCTTCTTTTGATGCTTTCTGCATCATTCAATATTTTGCCCATAGAATCTTTCAATATTGGAACTCAACAAAATTATGAACACTTCTTAGACATAACCAAACACCTTAAAGCAGCAGTTCTCAACCTGTGGGTCGCGACCCCTTTGGAGGGGAAATGACCCTTTCACAGAGGTCGCCTAAGACCATCAGAAAACACATATATCCGATGGTCTCAGGAACCCAGACACCACTTCTCTACCTCTCTCCAGGCAGGTCTGCCACATGCAGATACGCCCACATATGAGTACATGGCGAGAAAGCTGTTACCCATGCTACTCCATGCTTCAAGACAAAATTTCATTTATTTGTCATTAAAAATAAATATTTCATAATATATAATTACATATCATTTTTATGATTAATCACTAAGCTTTAATTATGTTCAAGTTGTAACAATGAAAATACATCCTGCATATCAAATATTTACATTATGATTCATAACAGTAGAAAAATTACAGTTATGAAGTAGCAATGAAAATAATTTTGTGGTTGGGGGTCACCACAACATGAGGAACTGTATTAAAGGGTCGCAATATTAAGAAGGTTGAGAACCAGTGCCTTAAAAGAACACATTTCTGTGCCTGAGAGATCAGAACCATAGTCTCAGGGGATACCAACGTCAATTGGCATAACATAGTTCACAAAGCCAATGTTCTACATCCTATTTTGGTGAATAGGGGTCTTAAAAACTCATGAGCAGGCATCTAGGGTATAAATCTTCATCTTTCCTTATCTAAGAAGTGTGCTAAAACTCCAGGCATGCATCGAAACAATTAGTCCAATGGGCTAAAGATCCATGCAAACATCAGTCTCCATAAACCTATGATCAGAAGAGCAAGGTAGTGCCTGGCTAACAACACTAACAACTCTGCAAAGTGTTACATTAGAAGATCTTTGTGTGGGAGAAAAATGTGGAGCATAATTCAAAATCATAAAACATCAGGCTTATTGGTTGGAAAGAGACATCCAAGACTACCTCCTTTAGTCACCCTTCAGGTCTGGAAATGAATCTATCCCTGTGTTAGAACAATCAACAATTTAAGATTAAAAAGGCAGCATTTAACAAAGGTCAAAGTCTATAGGATTAGGAAAGAATGCAGAATGGAAACAGAAAACACAGGAAGTAAGATAAGTTATGGTACATTGAGGGGATTGAAAAAGATGAGCTGAAATAAAATGTGTATGAATTGTTTAATGTAAAACCCATGTTCTGCTCTGTAAACCTTCACATAAATCACATAAAAGTAAAATGATAATGTTTATTTTTTTAAATGCATAATGTAATGTGAAATGGATTTTGTTTAAGGAACTCTAAGGCATTCTACTCCTGTGAAGTTACAATCTCTGAAACCCACAGGGGCATATCTATCCAGTTCGATAGGGTTGCTATTAGTCAGAATCGACTCTGTGGCAGTTGAGTTCTATTTTATTCAGCAGCTATATAAAAGATTGTCACTTGGAATCCACCAGAGAGAAAAGGATGAGATAGGCTGCGTCTGTAGAAATTACAGCCTTGGAAACCTTATAAGGCAGTTCTCCTATCCTACAGGGTCACTATGAGTTGGAATCAACTTGAGAGTAAGTTTATTGTTGTTGTTGCTAGCTGCTGTTGTATCAATCTCACACACAATGGAATGAAGCATTATATATACAGTTGTCATGGCTTAGTCTGGAAGCTCTAATGAAACCTGTTCAGCATCACAGCAACATGCAACCCTTCATTGACAAATGGTTGATGATTATTTTAGGTATCAAACCTCAGCCTCACACCTAGAACCCGTATTCCAACTCATAATAATGCTCTATAGGGTTTCTGAGACTGTAAATCATCAAAGAAGCAGACAGTTTCTCTTTTTTCCTGTGGAGCAGCTGGTAGATTTGAGACGCTGACCTTGTAGCTAGCAAGAAGAAATCAATAAAAATTAGAAATGGATTTTTTCTTTCACATATACTTTTTCTTTTTACAGATGGATTATAAATTTTAAATCAATTCAAATAAGAGTTTAGTGCCCTCATGAATTCTACATACATTGAGCATACATACATTTCAATATTATTTTTCTGCTAACATTAAGCTATCAAGAAAAAACAAAGATTTCTTTTTAATAGGAATACATGTAAAAAGGTACACTTGCGTCCATTCAATAATAAGTAACTGTGGGCTCACTGTGCTGAGCATTGATCTAGACACAATTCTTTTGTTATTTATGTACCCCCCCAAAATTGTAACTAATTTTTAGAACATTTACTGACTTTCAAAATATCTTAAAACTGTTTACCTGTTTTTCTTCTTGAAGGTGGGCAATCTCTTCATTAATTTTCTTATTTAATTCCAATTCCTGAAAAATGGAATAATTTAAAAGTTATGATAAACATTTAATAATTCTACATTTAATTCAGTGATCAACAAATTTGAGTTGGCATGACCTATATTACCAGGTACCCATATTTGTTTGTAGTGGAAGAAGTAACTCCGGTGAATTGAATAGGCATTGGATACCAACTATAGTCAAGTGCAAAAGCAACAAAGTCCACATGGAAGCAGCACACCAACATGTGTGATCATGAAGGGCCGAAGGGACCAGGCTTCAAGCACCAAAGGTGAGGGTAGGGGTGGGGATCATATCATCGTGAAGGAGGGTAACGTGTGATGGGGACCCAATGCCCATCTGCAGACAACTGGACATACCTTGCAGAGGGGTAGTGGGGAGGAGATGAGTCACTCAGGGTTCAGTATAGCAATAATGAAACTCACAACCTTTCTCGAGTACTTAAACGCTTCCTCCCCCCAACTACCATGATCCCAATTCTACCTTGCAAACCTGGTTAGACCAGAGGATGCACAGCGGTATAGAGTAGAACTGGCCCTTTGGATTTTCAAGGCTATAAGTCTTTAAAAGGGCAGAAACATCTTCTTTGCCCTCTGGAGCAGCAAGTGAGTTCAAAATGCTGACTACATTGAGTTAGCAGCTCAGGTGTTGTTACACTATATCACTGTAGGGCTAAAAGTATCATGGTAAAATTTTATTGGCCTCAAGTCTTGCTAAGAAAAAATGTTATCTAATAATTTTAAAAATTATATGTCCAATTTTAAAATACGTATATTTACTTCACACAGAAGAAACATTTTTAATTTTAACAATCCTTATTATTGTCCTAAAACAATAATATAATGAAAATGAATATATTTAATTAAATACCATATTGAATCGTTCATGAAGTTCTTGAAACTCTTGTTCCTTAATTGTTAGATTGATGTTTTTTTCTCCCATCTTTTGCTGACATGTGACTTTGGATTTTATCAAGTCTGAGATCATTTTTTTTACTTCCTTTAAGACAGCAAACAGAAAATTTAGTCTATTTCAAAAAAGAGAGGTATGTTCCTAACAATTTAAAAAGTCAATCTTTAAACATAGTTTACTTATATTTTAGTTTATATTTCATATGTCAAGATCCAGATCTAGTTCCCCTATTTAAGATTAGCCACCATAAAAATGTGTAAGATATGACGGAATAGTAGTGATTTGTAAATTACCAGGGGTTTATGTGGGAGGGGGAGCAGGGAAGGAGGGGAAGGGATGGGGAGCTGAGACCAAGGGCTCAAGTGGAGGGCAGGTGTTTTGAGGGTGATGAGGGAAATGGATGTGTGGGGGTGCTTGACACAATGGATGTATGTGTGGATTGTGATAAGAGTTGTATGAGCCCCCAATAAAATGATTTAATTCTTTAAAAAAAATAAGGTATAGTTAAAGTATGTAGGGAAGAAGTGTAATTGAGGAATTAGAAAGAATTTCAGGCTTTTCTGGCATACAAAGGCATTTAAAGCACAAACAGTGGCTAGGTTTCAGCTATTGTCCTAAAAGCCTATACTAATAAATAATCCACCGTAGCTAAGATGTAGGAAAGTTGTTATCCATCAAGGCTACCATAATCTTAATTGTACCCCAATTTTACTTAAAAGTAGTAATAATTCCATACATTTCTATAGCATATTATACTTACTGTGCTTTTTCAAGCATTTTATTATTTAATATTTTCATAACACATATAAAACAGGAAGGGCAAATATTATTATGCTCACATTATAAATGGAAATACAAAGGAGGAAAAGAGAAAAAGATGTTCAAGGACATGCACCTCCTTGATGACTATAGTTGAAAGGTTGCATTTTTTGTTTGTTTTGTGGTGATGCTAAAAATCACAGCATAAAAATATTCACGTTAACCATTTTCCAGGGCACAACTCAGTGACATGAGTCTCTCATAATGGTATATAATCATCATCAGTTTTTCTTTTCATCACGTCGACCTTCATCATACCATAAAACTTTCCATCACACCAAACAGAAACTTTAAATAATTATACATTAAATAATATTTCCCATTTTCCACCCATTCCCAGTCCAGGTTAACCACTAATATGCCTCTGTCTCTATGCATTTGCTGGTTTGAGATATTTCATACAAATGGGATCATAAAATATTTGTTCTCTTATGTCTGGCTTATTTCACTTTCAGTATTTTTAAGGTTCGCTCATGCTAAGAATGTATCAAAATGTCATTCTTTTTTATGCCAGAAGTGGAGCTTACAGACTACTTTTGAAAATCAGTCAATGAAAACCCTGTGGATGACAATGACCTTAATCTACAATTGATCGTGGGGATGGTGCAGTGTTCTGTTGTGTATGGGGTTTCTGTGAGCTGAGGGCCAAACACCATATATGCAGTATACCACATTTTATTTATCCTTTAACCAATGGATGAACTTAGTTTATTTTTATCTTCTGCATATTGTGAATCATGCTGGAATAATTATTAGTTTACATGTTTGAGACTCTAGTTTGATTCTTTTCAGTATATACCAAGAAAGTTTAGTTTTAAAGAAAAAGAAAAGTGATGAGAAAGATAAACAAAATAAATGAGAAACATGAGGTAAGTAAAAAAATATTGCGACTAAGCCGCCATCAAACTTTAACAGTTTATTTCAAAGTAAACATGTTTAAATATCTCTCTGTGATCAGTAGATGACTGCAGACAAGTTCTCTCAGCCATACACTGACTTACTCTACTTAGGTCTTCTTTAAAAAAGTTCCAAAAGTAGTGGCTTCCAAGGGTTCTGCTTGGGCAATTAAATTCAAAGTAGAAAGGTCATCTTAGAAGGTTATGGCTACTATTTTTGGTAATTCCCAAGGAGTAATTCTGGTAAATTTCCTTAAAAGGCACAGAAGGACCAGAGGAGCTTATTAGGAAGAGGTTTTAAGAAAGTGGAAAGCTTTCTTATTGAAGAAAAAAAGGTCAGCCAGTAAAGTTGTGCCAAGATTTTTTTATCACACGTTGTACATGTTCATTCTCCAAGGGTAACAAGGGTTGTCCTACTAGATCTTTGTTGGAAAACCTTACCCAATATATCCTATAGCCCAAATCTTTTTGCTTTAGATTTCTTTCTTTCCCCAAAATTCAGAGCACATTGAAAGAGAACACAACTTAGGGCTAAAACTAAAGGAACATGATAAGGATGCTGAAATTGCCTTCTGTCCAGCTTTCACATGCATAGGAGGCCATTGACTATACCCTGGCTTCAGGCAGGTGCATTTAAGTCCCTCCTTGCTTTTTAACATGTGAAAGAGGTCTTTTGCAACAGATTTTCTCAAAACATCATTTTATTTTTTGACAGCTTCTTACATGGGATTGATTGTAGAGCCACATAAACTGAAACCCTTCACAATTTCGGTCTTTTCTGTTTATGATATCCACTATAATCCTGACAACTAGACTGGTAAGCACATGACCACAGAAGAAATGATGTAATGAATTATGGTGTGGGTAAGGAACACTGAAAAATAACATGGACTGTGAGATGAACAAACAAATCTGTCTTGGGAGGAGTACAGCAAGAATGCTTCTTGGAAGCAAAGATGGAGAGCCTTCATCTCACTTACTTTGGGCATGTTATCAGGAAAGCCCTGTCCCTGGAGAAGGGCATGATGCTTGGTAAAATAAGAAGCCACTGTTTTCCAATATGTACAAAGTTATGGAGGACTGTGGGAGGCCAAAATCCACCTGCAGAGTATCTAGCCTCTGACAGATCTCCTCTAGCCACAGACAAGGGATGCCAACACTTTACTATCAGACAGAGATTATTATAAATTTGATTATGGTGGATGAAACTATGGTATGATACTTATCAGTTGACCTCCCTCTTGGCACAACCTGATTTGTTCTAGACTTAAATATCTCTTGCTTGTTCCATGACAGAAATTTCTTCTCTGGATTTTTAAATGTGGCTAGTGCTCTTTTCTTTCTTACTCTATTTTAATCTTTATATCATTAATATTTTATTTTTTGTTAGGCTGCTCAGTTTGTGAAGCACAGGCACGGAAGCATAGACAATGACTAATGCAATGGTGTATGGCTAGGGAGAGGGATTTGTGAACAAGCAATGCATACGGGAGTGAGGAGGGAGCACTAGAACGGATTGTGATGATGTATATACAACTATGTTTTAAAGTGACTTAGCCATGGGAGTATATGATATGTGACTTTTATATTAAGAAAACTACTGGGGAAAAAAAGAAACCCAAGTTAACCAATGGATACCATGGGTGGAGGAAGAGCTTTTGCATAAGGACATTGAGTTTATGTTAATGGTGGTGAAATAATTTGGAAAAGGATATCAACAATGGTTGCACAATAAAAAATGTAATCAATAACACTGAATTATATATGTAGACTTTGCTGAATAGAATATTTTGTTGTGTATATTTTTGTCACAATTAAAAACAATTACACTAATAACAATGAATACAAAACTTGTGGTTCTGATTGTATAACTTCCTAATATGATTGAATTATTGAATTCTATCGACAGATATAACTATTGAATTATATGCTATATGGGTGAAATACCAACAAAGCTGTTTTTTAAAAGTCACTGTTAATCAGTAACATGGATTGACAGTGGCTACAATAGGTTAAAACATAGCAATGATTGTGAGGATAGTGCTGGGCAGAACAGTATTTTGTTTGGTTGTATATAGGGTTGCTATGAGCTGGAACCAACTGCATGGCACCAAACAACTACAACAAATTATGATGTTGCTTACTGATATTGTTGTGAGGATTTTTGTTTTCTTTATGTGTTTATTTCTTTATTTTGAGGGGTAATTCATACTAAAGGCTGCAGGCGTCATATCTGCAATAGTGAATACTTTAGGTTTTCTTCACTTTCATTCAGCAAGCAAGGTTGTGTCATTGACATACCACAGATTGTTAATAAACCTTCCTCCAATCTTGATGTTGCAATCTTCATATTGTCCAGCTTCTCAGATTATTTGCTCATCTTACAGATTGAATAAGTATGGCAAAAGGAAACAACCCTGATGCACACCTTTTCTTGATTTTAAAACTCAAAGTAGCCCCTTGTTAGAATAAGTGCCTCTTGGTCTATGTATATGTTCTGCATGAGCACAATTAAGTATTTTGAAATTCCCATTCTTCACAATGTTATCCATAGTTTGTTATAATACACATAGTCGAATACTTTTGCATAGTAAAACCAAAACAAAACCAAAAATACCACATAACATCTTTCGGATATCCTGACATCTGAAACCAACAATGGCATCCCTCCATCCCATTCTAAATCTGGCTTGAATGTATGGCAGTCCTGTAAATTTACTGCTGCAAGTCTTTTGTATTATCATCAATAAATTTTTACTTGTATGTGATATTAATGATATTATCAGATAATTTCCACATTAGATCAACTTTCTTGGAGAGGTTTCAGGATCTCTTTCAGTAGATTGGTCATAAAATTGTGTTCCCAATTTCTTGATACAGTTAAATGACCAATTCCAGCATGGTTTCCATTTAATGAAACATTTCAATTGGTATTCTATCAAATCCTGTAGTCTTGTTTTTCAGTGCAGCTTGGAGTTTTCCTTTCAATACCATTGGTTCTTGCCTCCTAAAATGGTTGAATGTCAACAAATTCTTTTTGGTACAGTGACTATATTCTTTCCATCTTCTTCTTCTTTTTTTTAAGCATCTTATTGGGAGCCCTTACAAATATTGTAACAATCCATCATTCAATTAGATCCAGCATAATTATACAATGTTGCCACCATCATTTTCAAAATGTTTTTTCTTCTTGAACTCTGACTTCCTCCCTCTCCCATCCTATCTCCAGTAACCCTTATCAATATATTATTGTTATTTTGCCATATCTTACTCCATCCAATGTATCCATTGTTCTACAATTCTGTTATTCATTCCCCTCAGGTAGGTTTGTACAGTCATCATTGCTTTCGGTTCCCCCTTCCCCACTTTTCC